CGGTTCTGAGAAGGACTCCACTCCCATACTACCGGCTGATTTAATCGAACAAACCAAGCAACCCCCTCTGATGATATGTGACTCACGTAGCATTATACGCCATGGGCGATTGGTGTCTCAGGTTCTTATACATTGGCCAGGCAGCTCACAAGATGATGTATCTTGGGTTGATATTGATACAGTTAAGGCTCTATTTCCAGATATACACCTTGAGGACAAGGTGTCTTCTGAAGCGGGGGAGAGTGATACACACAAAGAAACTGACAAGGGAAACCATGGAAAAACAGTTAGCACTCGCACCAGGAAACTCCTTGCACGTTTTGCTGATTTCATCATGCCTTAATTTTAGTTTAATCTTTCATGTTTTATCTCCTATAATTTAGCTAGTACGTGGGATTGTTGTTTAGTTTGTGTCTTGCTGCCCATGTAATATGCCAGTATATATCTCTGTTAGTAGAACATATTTGGTATGACTAGTAATTAATTCCTGAAATTCTACATTCTTCTCTATTTGTTCCCTTGGGAGTTTATCCTTGACTCGAACTAAGGATCTGCTGTACAACTACATTGTATCATTTGGTCTCTGGTCACTCTGAGTGAAAGATAGCAGGTCTAGTTTCGCTATTTGACTTGTTGATTTCATAGCAGTAGGTGGGATGGATGCGCAACAGGGGCTCATTGTCTCATTGATCGCTATGGCCGACTACAATTGGAGGAGGATGGGAATGCGGTGGATTTTCTTCTGTCGAACTTGAACGAGAATGAAGATCTGGAGGGGCTCTCAGAGTGGTCGTTGGTGAGGACTGTTTTAATAGAGAAAACGGTGATATTCCTGCCGTTTAGAGACACAATGGCTCGTATTTGAAGACCGAGCAGGGGTGTTTCAATCAAAGAAATCGACGAGAAGATGTGTTTCTTTTCTTTTTACCGTGAAATTGTTATGAAACGCGTTATAGAGTATGACTCATGGATTTATGATTACAACCTTGTGGTGTTACATGAATTAAAATCACATGAATTGACTTTGAAGATTCCTTTATATTTCTCGGATTTTTGTGTCCAAGTGCATAATTTACTTGTATGTCACTTGACTCTAAGGGTGACTAAAGTTATTGGTAATAATCTTGGATGTTTTGTTAATCTTGATGAAGACCAATTTGAGAGGCGTTGGAGGGCCTATTTGAAATATTGGGCTGGGCTGAAGCCCACCCCTGCTCTCACAGTGATCCGCCCCTGATCGTGAGAAAATAACAACAGTATAGACAATCAACAATGTATCTACGCGACGCGCATCCCGATGGGATTGTTTGGTTAGAGCAAGTAATTTGGTTAATCCCTCGATAGCCTCGGCCCGGCTGAGTTCTTTGTTCGACTGTTTCTTCCCGGCCTGTGTGATAAATTCGCCGCATGTGTAATAGATTTTAGGTACACCTAATCAGGCCCCAACTAATGAATTTAATAGATTTTGGGTCTTTGACAAAAAAGAGTATGAATAGAGTGAAGTTATTTTTTATATTTTTTCTTTTTTTGAAAATGTTATAACTTTTTTATTTATAATTCAATTTTCATAAAATTTATATCGAATTAAATAAAATTTTATAATTTTTCATATGAGACCAATATTGCATTGATATTAGGATGCCGCTTAGGAATGACTAGTGTGGAACACTCCTATGTGCTTAAAGTAATATAGCTATATTGATCTATTATGATGTCTTTTATGTATGTTGCAATTTATTGCATGGTGATGATACGTTTTTACTGTTTATTACTAGTAATTAAGCTTTATTTTTATGTAACTTAAAGTGTTTATATTGATATAACAAATAAATATTCATCTCAACCATACCACATATAACATATATTCATGAATTTTTTTCATACTAATCATAAACAATGCAAATTAAAAATATATACACTTTTATCTCTCTTGCATACTCATATAATTCAAGACATATTTACTTCTTCTATATTTAATTTTATTTGTTCTAGTATGCTTGCATTGTTTATGTAATATGTTTGATCCCTCCAACTATCATATCATTCTAAATAAAATGACAATTTTTAGTAAAAAAACGAAAAATCAAAACAGAACCGAAACAAACCAAATCAATCAAACAATGGTTTCAAGTTTTGAAATTTAAAACCGAACTGAAATCAAACCACACTTTCTACTAGGGGTGGGCAAACGGTCCTAGAACCGCGGGTCGAGGCGGGTAATGTGCGGTTCTTAGTTTAAGAAAAAGAAAACGGGGCGGGGCGGGGCGGGTAATTATTAACATAGGTTTGGGCCGGTTCTCAAATTTCAAAATAACGGGTACCCGGCCCGGCCCGTTAATTTATACTTCTGTTTTAAAATTATCCTGAGCCCATTAAACCTTTTAAATTACCTTGAGCCCAGTTAACCGTAATAGCCCAACGACCCATGTAATAGCCCTAGTCGTCGTCCTCTATTCTCTGTTGCGAAATGTGAAGAGACCGAGGCCCTGGCGATGTGAGCGAAAGTGTGAAACATCAATCGACAAATCGTTGCTGCAAGCCTGAGATCCGACGACTTACCTGCGAGACCGCGACTTGACTGAGAGGCTGCGATTGACTGTGAGGATGTGAATTGTGAACATCGTGTTGTACGGAGCTGAGACCCCCTCGACTTGGCTGAGAGACTGCAATTTTAAGGTGTTTATTTTACTCTAGTCGATGGTTTATATGATGCCCACTGTTGCATCTTTAATGTTTTGAGTTTTGATTAATAGGTTAGCTTATTAGCAAATCTTTACCTTTGTGAAATAATCTAGATACTGTTTTCTTTGTTTGATTTTTGCAATGAAGCTGCTAAAGTAATGTTCGTTTTAACATTAACTCGCTGCTTATCTTGTTATATCTTGGTTCTATTTTATTAACTGTAAAATATGTCTTTCTCTTTGGTAATGAAATGTATCAATTAGGTGAGAGTGAATCGATACAACCATTTGCCAGTTTTAAATACTTAAGAATATAGTTGCTGAGAATTACAGGTTACAGAATGGCTACTATATCAGCTACACTTGACAAATCATCAACAGAGAACTATATTATTGATGTTTTATATTATTGTGTTAAATGTGCACCTTGTTGAGTATGTTGTTGTTTTGAGACTTGCTAATGCCCTATATTATTGATTTTTGGAACTTAATTCTACACAGTAGTAACTAATAGCTAGATACATTTCACATTTAGACTTGCCCTGTAGTATTTTAGCTTATGTAGTCTATACATTACAAAGTATACAAACCGCAGGATTTAGAAATTGAATCTCATATGCATTAGTACAATATTCGTTTGGTAAATTGTCAAAAGGGTCTAGTAAAATGCAGTGCCATTTTGCTTGTGAATATGATCTTTGAAAATCAGCTCTGCCCATTCGATTCTAATATATTTTTACTCATTTGGTAAATTTTGGATTCATCTTTCACTTGTACAGTTGTACTGCTATCTTAATTGTCAACAACAATCCAGGGACCGAAAAACCCGGACCAGACCGACCCGTTTCAAACGGTCCGGGTAAGGTTTGGTTCCTATTTTCAAAATTGCAATACCCGAACCGGACCGACCCGTACAATGGAACCGGCGGTTCCATTTTATTTTGCATTACCCGGCCCGTGCCCACCCCTACTTTCTACTTTGGTTTCGTGTTTGGTTTTTTTATCAAAACCAACTTCATTTTATGTCCGATTTCGAGCGGCGACGAGGATCGTAGGTGAAAAAGATGGCTACAACCTTCAATCGGCGGGGTTTGGGGCCCCAATGTGACCGACAGGGGTGCGACTACGATGTGTCGAGTCTGAGGAGGTGAGGTACTATTACTGGTATATTTTCAAAGCTGCGGTGACGTAACAAGATGGAGGGGTTTACACTTTACAGGTAGGGGCGGAGACAGGACAAACCCGAGGCCCGGCCCGGACTCGGTGGCTACCCGGGCCGATCCCGGGTCCAACTATCCAGAACCATCGGCCCGACCCGACCCGACCCGACCCGAGTCCAAGTCTATCATAGTCTAGCGAATTAGAGTCTCTTTTTTATCCAATTTAAAAAAGTAGCCCTATTTTTTTCTATTTCAAAGTTAGTACTACACTTCTACTTTCGACATTATTAATTACTTCCTCCGTCCCATAAAATTCTTCCCTCTTTCCTCTTTGGGTCGTCCCAAAAAATTCTTCCCACTTACCATTTTTGGACAATTTGTGTGGTTCACATTCATTTCACCTTTTTCTTACACAAGTACAACCACATATTTCCATTTTATTCCACTTTCTTAATCTATGTGCTAAGTCAAAGTGGAAAGAATTTTCTGGGACGGAGGGAGTATAACATTACGTGTCTATTTAGATATATTCAAATTATGTCATTACAATTTAAATAAACATTTCAATTCTATAATAGAAAAATAGCATTAACATTATTATGAGATTTTCTCTGGACAAAAATATTACGAGTACTAATTATCATGTCTTTAGACAAAAATAGGACTAATCACTGTACGAGTCATTGAATAAGAGTCACTGGAAAGTGACAAATCACTGGAAATTGATTACAGATAATGACACTTCTTTAGAAAATTTTAATATTAGTCATACTTTTGTTTTTCGAATCTAATTTAGTGCTCCCTCCGTCCCGGAATTATCTTCATTCTTTCCTTTTCGGTCCGTCCCAAATTTATCTCCTTTTTCCCTTTTTGGTAAAGAATATGTGGTTCACAGCCATTCTTACACATTTCTCTCTCCTTTGCTTAACTCTCCACCACACAAATCTCACTATCTTAAAACCCGTGCCCGGTCAAAACCGGAGTTAAATATGGGACGGAGGGAGTAATATTCATGGAAAATAGCCTTTATAATATGCATGTCCAGATTAATTCTCTAATGCATCACTTTGTACAAATTGTGAGCCAAACAAATATCTGATTCTCTAATCCATATGTAGATACATATGTAAATAAATATACTTTAAAATCTGCACATAGATATGAAGAACAAATATCCAATATAACAATTATAAAATACCCCATCTAAATTCAACATAGATCTATCAAAGATTTGTTAATTACATCCATTGATCATGTGACTAGCAAGTAGCTCATAAGCATGACATTCGATAAGCTACATATTAATCAAAACTACTATATGTTCAAAGTAAAAAAAAAAACTCACTCATCATCCGGAGAAGGACTCTTGGGGAAACATCATTCAAACATTCATCACATGGTGTCATCCCCTTCATTTTCATCCGACGTCCCCTCATCAACATGGCGTATAGTTTTACTAAGTGCAACGGATTGAGTTAGCCAAAACAATGCAATGAAACTGCAAAAGTACCTAAAATGGCTCATGTAATAGCATAAATTCATTTACATAATACCATTGACTCAAAGATTTTTTGTAGTGAATCCTTGTGGTTTCAATGTAAGCAAAAACCAAAATTAGCTATACTGTGGTTAGGAGGAGGTTTTTAGCTGCTTTTGGCTTTTCTCATGAAGTCATGAGGAGCTACTAGCTAAGCTTCGGTCTTTCCCACCTCAGTTTTATAAACTAATAGAGAAAATAAACAAAGAGGGGACACCGAGTAAGGAATATTAAAACGGGACAGCAATCAACCATTTTGGGCTTTTTCTTTATTTTTTGTCAAATTGAAATATTCATAAATCTGGTTATACTATATACTGTAGCAAAACTATTATATACCTCCATAGTTTTTTTCTTTCAAAATAAAAAAAAAAACTACGGAGGTACATAATAGTTTTGCTCATAAAATTTCAAGCTTAACAATCTCATATAGACTTGGCTAAAAACAAGTCATGTTTGTCTTCCTACATTGAGGCATGTTCATAAACGCTTAATGTGCTTCATTTATTTCATCCTAACTGTTGTATTAATGTGCTTCAAAGTAATTTTATGAAAGCATGGTATAGCATATTATATCTAAATCAGCTAGTGTGGAAACAAATCAGATAATATGGTAATACAAAACTAAACCACGCCAAGTTTGACAAAAAAAGCAATATGATCATTTTCCAAATAAGATTATTAAACTTAAAAAAAAAGGTTATTAAACAGAAATTGTCAATTGAATTAAGATTTAAGAACACTTACAAAGTTACAAGATTGAATGTCACTTTACTTCCAGATCTCAAATGTTGATCGAAAAAGTGATGCCAAATACGGCAAGAGATGTGCTTCAGGTTTGACAATTGGACTCCGCCAAGCACATTTGTTCCGCCAATTATGAATAGATTGGGTTTCCTACATAGACGAAACCTTAAGATCAATTAAGGTTACAAATCCAAGAGCGTAACAAGTAGAGAATTGGGTCAGCTTTGACCCTTCAACAAAAAAATAAAGAAGCATGAGAGCAATGGCTATCCCATCTATTATAGCAAAGTAACAAGCAAATACTATCAAATCCTAACCAAGATAAGGCGTGAAAACAGATTATTAGACAACAAACTGAACAAATAACATGTGTGTTGTCAAAATTCAACACGAACCACACAATAAATTGCATTCACTAGCTGCAAGGATCGAAGGTGTTGTTTAATAGACGCAGATGAGTACAAAGAAACATACCTGAGCACTCCGCTCACTGAAAGGAATAAAAAATCTTCGCCATCTTCTCGCTCTATGGAGATTCCTAGTTCAACAAGGTTAAAATGTGCGCTTAGCACTCTATTTAGGGTTTTATTTTTTTTATGTAATTTGGCATTATGATTTAGCAGAATGTTGTACATATTTTGTTTTTACTCTAACATATTAAAGTTTGACGGGATGTTTTACTCATTAGAAATAAGGTGCGGAATATATTATTGTTTTGCGCTAAAGTTTTCTCGTAAAATGTTACCTTAGGATTCACAATATATCCCAACAAATGTAACATTTTTAAGCAAATGTCACTATCTAACTAAACTAAAAAATAGTCACATTAAAACCACATTAAATGTAGCAGTTTTACGCAAACGTACTGCATCATCTGAAACCATTACAGCCAGTGACTGCTTAATAGCGTTTTAAGCATCTGCTACAACTTAAGTGTTGCATTATGCCCAAAAATGAGGTAGTGCCTTGCCACGAGATCGGAAAAAGTTGCTGATGTCAGGCTAGAGTTGTGAGTGGAATCGATGTGGAGGTTGCAGGATGTGCGGGGGTGGGTGTTGAGGTGTGGGGTGTGTGTTGGGGTATGGGTTGGCAGGAAAGGCCGAAAGGGGTTACGAAAATGGGGGGTTGGGGTGGTGAGTGGGTTGCGACTAGCAGGGTGGCTGGGCTGCGAGTGGGAGGAATTGGCATGGTGGCTGGGCTGCAGCTTCTGTCGGGAAGGCTTGGGGTGGGTGGGCTGCGACAGTGGGGATTGGGGCGGTGGCTGTGCTGTGACTGGGAGTGGGAATGGGGCACGCTTGGGGTGAGCTGGTTCAGCTGGGGCAGACTATGACTGCGGGGGACCATGGTGAAGGCCGGGAGTGTTCACTGGCTTGGGCGGCAGAGTCATCGCCCCAGGGTGCAGCAGTCACTGTCTGGGGTGGTGAAGTTCACTGGGCGACGGTTCATTACGTCTGCAGTGCAAGTGTCCATTAGCGACTGGTAACTGTGAGAGTTACAGCGGCGGTTGGTCTCCGGAAAAAATAGGTTACTGGCAAAGGGTGTAACTGGAACTGATGCAATGAACATTGTCACCAATGATGATCATTGTGGCTGGCGATGGTCACTGGAGCATTGGTCACTGTGGGCAGAGTCACTGGGACATTGGTCACTATGGGGGGTCAGTGTCATTGGTCACTGTAGCGCTGGGTCAGTAGTCTTATTATTGTTCTTAACTTCTCAAATAGTACATTTTTGTCAATAGCCCTATAAATATAAAAGACAAAAGTATAACTTGTTTCTGAGTTTTTTCAAAAAGAGAGATTAATCATATCAATTATTCTCTCTATTCAATATCACATTTATTATTGAAATATTGCTATTATTATAATTAAGAATTAATCAATGCCATCATCTAGCCACCGGTAGTGACCGCCACAACCATCAGTGACTCTGCACCATCGCCACCGGCGCCAATAGTGATCATGAAATCACTAATCTAAATCTTGTAATGACTACAACTACTTAGCCCATTAGAGACCACACTGAAAGTTACTATCACATTATGCTGATATTGTTGAACACAAGCCACTCGACATCAATCACAACAGTGGTATAGGTTTATCCACTGTATCCGGGGTATCATATGTTCCAGACTTCCATTCACTGCGGTTAAGGTTTCAGTCACTGCGGCTATAATAGATAATTTTGCGATTTAAAGTTGCAAGTAAATTTTGCGACTTAAAGTTGCTCACCTGCGGCTGACATCCTGATATACCGGTAGAGGGGCTGTTTTTGAAAACAGAAGACTGTGTTGACTCACTCCCCCTATACCCATAGCACCCAGAAAGTCAATTTCAGCTTTTCGAATTAGGCAATAATTAATATTGAATGTAAGTAAATTGGTATAAACATAAGATAAGCTCCAATCGCAATGCATACATTAACTATTTTCAATCTGTCAGCAGCTTTAGTAGTCCCATCAATACGCAAGAACTTCAGATCAACGGACATTAAAGAGGCCTGCGACAAATATTGGATAATTGACATTCAATAATTGTGTGTAAGAAAATAAGAAATAATTCAAAATACTATTAAACTTCAATTACAGAAGGGAAAAGTTGTAGTTACCTGAATAAGATCAAGCATCTTCCGTGTTTGTGAGAAAATGAGAACATGGTGTCCATTTGGAATTAGAAATTCCTAGGGCCAAGAATTACTTACTGGCATTAGCAATATGCAATCATGATGCAAATAAGGTAAACTTGAATACTTGATGCTGATGGAAACTAACCAGCAACTGCATAATGAAATTAATCTTGCAAGAAATATTGTGATTATCCTCCGAGTCTAATTTCTTAGCTGCTTTTGCCAGTTGTGTTGCCAGCCAATCTTTCAGCCATAGCTTGATCCTCTTTGCTCGGCAATGAGATAAGTTCCATCCCTTCTAAAACTTCTTCAGCAGCTCTTTTGGTCAATAAAAGAGGATGGTCACAGATTTTTTTTAAGATCTGTTTAAAGAAAATTGCATTTCTGAGGGTCAGGTTTCATATTTTTTTAAAGGTAGAACAAAAAAATAGTAGCTAGAATTTCTTATTAAAATGAGTTCAACAAATAACATTAAGCAATATGGAGCACTATTTAGCACTGAAAATCAATCCACCTGAAAGCAAGGCTTTATTTTCTATTTATTACATATTTGAACACATATATTTATGTGTGTTAAATTGATCAGAATCAATTAGATCAAATAATCCTGTTAATACGCATTAGGATAGAGACGAATGCTATAATTATATTCTACTAAAAACAATATTGTGCGTCACTGTGCTAAATATTTAAAACTATGAAAGAGCATCATAGTCCTCTATGTAGAATGCAACAAGAATATATTTCATTTAGAGCATTACCGTTAGTGCTGCCAATGGTGAGCTATACACAATCTCACTTTTTAGAAAAGCAACGTACAATTGACGCTGGACAATAGAATGGAGCACAAGGGTAAGAGTAACTACAAGAAACAAAACTATGAAGTGAAAAGGCATTCAATAGCGGATGATAAAGTGATAGACAAACAGGGTTATAGAGCAAATCTGTACCTGGCAACTAGTTAATTTTAGCCACACACACATCTCGTTTTTCTTTGAAAGCTTTATGCCAGTTGAGGTTTCATTTTTAAATACGTCACTTTTCAGACGCCGCAAAAAGTAAGGTTGTGTACACTCTCGTAGCTCCTGTCAAAACAAAAGAACAACAATTCAGGGCAAGAGAGGAGTAGACCGTGTGGTAGCTACAAATAGGGGTGAGCAAAAAATGCCGTACCCGATTAACCGTACCAAAAAACCGAAAACCCGATGTATTTTTCGGTTACAACTTGTGGTACGGTTAACCAACCGCAAAGGAAAAAAGTTACATGGTACGATTACTGTTGAAATTATGTTAATGATGGTTGACCGGTTACTAGATTTGGGGTAAACTGACAAAATGATTTGTAACATATATGATGTGCTAGCGGACCGCATATATCCATTTTTTGTAGAGAAAATGGTCAAATAAAGTCTTCTGCTATTATAAAATAGTCACATAAGGCCATGTACTCAATAAAGTGTCATATAAGTACCTCTACTTGTAAAAAACAATCAAATGAGTCCTAATGACCTATTTAACTCCTCTTAATCTTGGTTTCAACGCACTTCTGACCATCTTTATAGAATACAGCATATGTTGAATATTTAACTAAGATTGGTTGAAATACAAGTCAAAAAAATCGACATGTAAACTAAAATCGGGATTAGAAAGTGTTAATAAGTCGTTAGGACTCATTTGATTGCTTTATACAAGTAGAGGTATGATAGAGTATATCTCCTGAATTCTAGAGAGAAGTGAGAGCTAGAGAGAGAAGTGCAATAATATGCTTCAATAGAATGAATTTGTAACCCCTATAACTACTCCCAAGGGGAGTATTTATAGAGAAAATTAGGGTTGGGCTCCCAAGCCTTGGGCTTGGGAGGCCCATTTACAACTGGACCGCTACTGGGCCGAATACAAAGCCACTAATGGGCTGTACAAGTGAGTAAGTGTAGGATCCGATTCTGGGAGGTCCTCGTGGCCGACGAGGTCGTGACCGACGAGGGCACGGCCGACGAGGGCACGGCCGACGGGGGCACCCGGGTTCCTTGGACTCGGGATCATAATCCGGGTTGGCTTCCTCTCGGCCGACGGGGGCGTCTTGGCCGACGAGGGCGTTTGGCCGACGAGGGCGCCACTCTGTCTTGTGCTCTGTTCTTCCGAGTATGTGGGTCCTGGGGCTCAGACCCATATACTCCATCAGGAGTCCCCCACTCTCTAAGCTGAGACGTAGACGAAGTGAAGGAGAGTAGATTTCTGTGCTTTGTTGCTTTTGGCCGACGCGGGCATTTCCAGGCCGTTAGCCGTTGTGGCGTTGGCGTTGTTTCCTCTCTGGTGATCCTATTCTGTGCTTTGGCCGTTACGTGTTCCTTGCGGTGGGCGGGGAGGCCGTCATTTCCTTAATGTGTTTTGGGACGATGATAGTCCTTCCTTCAATGGTGGCCGTTGAGGGCGCGCTTTCCCCTTCCTGGCCGTTGGTGTTTGAAGTTTACGTTTGGGCCGATGAGGCCGTTGAGGTTGTTCCTTTGTGTTTTTGGCCGAAGAGCCCGTCAAGATTAATTGTTGGCGGAGGACGATGAGTGTCCTTGCCTCTAGTGGCTTGTTGGCCATTGCTAGTGACGTTATGGGCCTTTGGCCGATGAGGTTCTGTTGTGCTGTATGGATGATGTGGCCATGTTTTGTGGTTACCTTGTTTATACCTTTGTTTCGTTGAGGCCGGTGTAGTCCCCCAGTCCCCCACTGCTTCAGGCCGAAGAGAGTGAGGGGTGAAGGAGTTGCCTGAGTCCTTGGCCGAAGCGGTCTCGCCGTAGTCCCCCTGAATCCAACTCTCATGGCGATTTTCTGGCCAAGGTAACCCTGTGGGAGAACCCTTGTGCGCAGATCGCTTGTAGAGAGTTATCATCAAGGGTTATTACGAGGAGCCGAAGGCTGTGGGCTATTTGTTCCCTTTGTTCTGTGGCCGTTACGTACCTGGCCGTTGCCATCCTCTTATTGTTTGGCATTTGGGATATTGGTGAGCAAATGGGACGTTGAGGGCGCTTGCTGGCAGTTGTAAAGCCGTTGAGCGTGTGTAGGCCGTAGAGTCTGATTTGCCAGTGGGCCGTTGATATGGGTTGGTCCTGGCCCGTTGGTGACGTGGTGGCCCCCCAGTGGTGGCCGTTGATGTGGCCATTTGGTGAGTGCCACGTGTAGTGACCGTTGGTGGTGGGGTCTATAAATACCCCTTCCCCTCCGACGAAGAATCACATTTGCATTCTGAATTTGTCGAAGTGCTGGCCGATTTTCTAGAGAGAGAAACTCCCAAGCCTGTTCTTCGTGTTCTTCATTGTTTGAGGTTAGTGTTCATCACGATCTTCCTCACTTTTCATATTTTGCTCCGTAAGTAGTTGATCTAGTGTTAGGCATCTAAACACCCTTAGATCGTAAGTTCTCCTTAAGCCCGTAGTAGTAATGAAGAGTTTGAACGAGGACTACTACCCCTACGACGACCAGCCCTCCACGAGGTCCCTTGACTACGAGGTGCTCGAGGAGTTTGAAGAGGAGATAGAGCGTTTGAGCCCCTACAAATCCGTAGAGCTAATGGACGAGGAGATCGAGGACGAGAAGTCCGCCTCCTCTTCAGAGGGTGAGGACGTAGGTGCGTCCCGAGCGGTGGACGGGGCGTCCACCTCTGCTGCCGTTCCGTGCCCGAAGCCGGTATCTGCCGTGAAGGGCGCATCGAAGCCGAAGAGAGTGAGGAGGCCGAAGAATGGGCCGGGTCTCTCCTACTTGGACCTTACCAACATATTCCTGATTAAGCCGGAGAGCAGTGAGGCCGACTATCTTGTCGCCCAGATGTACGTGGGGCCGTTTGGGCGGGTTAGGGCACCCAGGCCGACGGACCATGTTCTACTTCCGCCACCGGGATACTTCGGAGTATACCCGATGAGTTTTGCTAAGGGGCTGAGGTTCCCTCTTCACCCCTTCGTCACCGAGTATCTGGACATGGTGGGGCTTCCTCCGGCCCTGCTGACGCCGAACAGTTATTCCTTGATAGTGGGCTTCTTGCTTCGGTGTGAGGAGTTGGGCTACAGGCCGACCACGGCCTTATTCATGAACTTGTACCAGATCGGCCGAGGAAGCCACAAGAACTGTGCGGCCTATGCCACTCTTCAACAGCTGCCGAGGAAGAGGAGCTTCACGGATTTGCCTACGTCCATTCATGGGTGGAAGAGCAAGTTCGTGTTTGTGTCCATTGGTGAGAGTGGCACCGAGTTCCCCTCCCTCGGCCACACCGGGAGGTTCAACCTTCATGACCCGCCGAAGAGCTCTATTCTGGACGCTCAGGTGGAGGCTTTCCTGGAAGGGGGGCCGAGGAGCGTGAAAGATTACGTCACTGAATACAAGATGACGGCCCTCGGCTTCTTCAGATATCACTTGTATGGAGATAAGGAGGATGACCTCCAACTCTGGCCGAGGATGACCACCAACTTTGAGGAGGCCGATGGCCCGCCTTTGGGCATTCCCGCTGAGGCCGATGGTAATTCTTCTTCGGCTTTGTGTCTTTACGTTTTGTCCTTTGCCTTACTAATCTGTTTGTGCTTTTCCCTTGTAGATTTTGTCATGGACCGCCGTTCTATGATGGCGATTGCGAAGGCCAAAGCGGCCGAGGAGATTGCTGCTAAGGCGGCCGAAGCGGCCAGGCGTGCCGCGGCCGGTGTGGGCGGGGCTAATGCGGATGCGGCCCCAAAGCCTGCCCCGTCCAAGAAAAAGAGACCGGCCACTGACGGCCAGAAGAAGTTGACCGAGGCCGGCGTGAGCGTCTCTAAGAAGACGAAGAGGGCTCCTTCCCCTTCTCCTGCCAGTGAGGCCGGTACGCTTACCGTCCCCAGCGTGGGCGATGGTGGTCCCGTCGTGGACCTTACTGTTGCTGATGGTGCCGCCCCAGCGCTTCCTCTCGTCCAGGAACCACGGACGCAGAGGGCCGGCAAAGAGGTTGCCGGTGCTACTTATCAGAAAGTGATAGAGTACCCCGTCGGCGGGGGCGTGTTTAATGAGCTCGTCCCCGGCCACGTCGTCCTTGCCAAGGCCATGCCGGCCAAAGATCGGGCTCATTTGAAGAAGCTCGAGGACCCGAAGATCTATGAGGGCGGCATGGATCTTCTCGTCCAAGTAAGTGATTGTCCTTATACTCTTGTCTCTCTTCGTCTTATGTAGAGTTTTTGCCTGACCTTTGTTTTTCTTATGCAGAGTGCCTTCATGCTTATGGAAAACCATAAGAGGCAGTACTGGGAGATAGTCCGCCTGCAAGCGCTGGAGCAGAAGGCCGCCTCGGCCGACGAGGCGGTAGCTTGCCTTGACCGGCTCCGGGAGGATGCCAAGGCGCTGCAGGCCAAGGCTGATGAGGCCGTCGGGGCCAGGGACGATGCCCTGGTCAAGCTCGAAGAGAGCAGAAGGGAGCTTGAGGAGTCCCGTAGAGCGCTTGAGGCCGAGAAGCGCAGGAGCGAGGAGGCCGCCAAGGCGAAAGCTGAGGCCGAAGCCGCCGTTGTGAGGGCTGCCGATGAGGCTGTTGAGAAGTTCTTGGCCGAAGGGTGGAAGGCCGATGAGAGGCTCCCCTGGTGTTACGAGGTGGTGGCCGCCAGGCTGGAGAATTGGGGGATGAACTCCCCTGCCGGCCGGGAGTATTTCAGCCAGGAGATGTCTGTTTACTACAACCTGGGGCAGGAGCGGATGCAAAGGCTCCTGTACCGGCGGCTATCCCGGGCGTTGAAGGCCATGAATTACACAGCCGGATGGGCTAGACGAAACCTGAAGCTCCCAAAGCTGATGAAGGATCCCGAAGGGCAGGTCGCGCTTCCGCTGTCGGAGCGGGAGTCCCCCATAGAAAGCTCCGGCCTCGGCGAGCCGGACTATACCGAGTTCGATTTCTTGGATGATGCCACCAGCGCCGCTGCCGGCCAGGAAGCTGAGGCCGATGAGGAGGGGGCCGACGAGATTGAAGAGCCAGCCCCGGAGGCTTGATCGGCTAGTCCCTATTGTAGTTAGCTTTTCATTTTTTTTGCCCAATTATGTAATGGCCGTAGTGCCCTCCAATTGTAATGAATTTATCAATCGAGGAAATTTTTGCTGTCCTGTTCGGCCTTGAATCCTTTGTGTGCTTGTTTGCTGTGTCATTTCAATTCTGTAAATTGTCCAAGTATCAAGTCATAACTTGGGTCACCCGCGAGTGTCCGCTACGTCCGTGAGGTTGGCCTTCCCGTCCAGTAGTCTGGTCGGCCTATGCCTTTTTGATTTACTGTCATAACACTTGGGAAAAAATTCCCCAAGTGTTTTTGGGTCCATGTAGATCCCGTCTTTACGGCCTAGTGGCTTCGTCGGCTTGGACGTAGTTTCATAACACTTAGGAATTTTTCAAAAATTTTCTAAGTGTTTTGGGATCCACTTAGGTGCTTTCCTTTCGGCCTGGTGGCCTTGTCGGCTTGACCGGTGTTCCTTTGCCATCATAACACTTAGGATTTTTTCAGTCAATTTCCTAAGTGTTTTGGATTCCTTTTAGGTGCTTCCGTTTGTAGCCTTGACCGTAG